GAGCCTCAGCCCTGGCGTGGATGTAGCGAGCAGCCAGCCCCATCTCCCTCCCCTGCCTGCTTTCTGCGGAGCCGGGTGCCCATCAGACCCCCTCCGCCCGAGGGTCCCCCTCTCCGACCCTGCCATCTTCCCCCCATCCCACCCCGAGCACGGGGGTAGCGGGAGCACGGCGAGACCTGGGTGACATTGCGCCGCTTACCGTGGTTTGACAGCAACGCTTGCTCGAAAACATCGCTGCGAGAAGAATCCAGGACAGAGCTGTACCGCTGGGACCAGCCCTCCAGCTTAGCATAAGTGACAAGCTCTGCGGGCTCCCCGCCAAGGGCTGCGCTGAGCCGTGCCAGCCCGGCCACGGCAGACTGGCACCCGGCTGGGGTGGCAGGGAGAGCCCGCAAGGCAGCGCGGAGGGGCAGCGCCGCAGCCCCGGCTCCCAGCCGAGCAGAGCTGGAGGGGAAGGAGCGGCTGCCTGGACACAAAAGGGCTTTTTACCGCCAAGAGCTTGCTCGCTGTGAGCCCACATCCGATCGGGAGGTGTTACGCTGGTGTGCATCGGTCCTAGGTGGGGAGAAGCGAACAGGGTGTCTCTGGGCACATCCTACCTCGGTCGGGTGCCTGCCTCTGGCGTGGCAGCGAGAGAAGAGTCCTCACCGGCCCCTGTGTTGCAGGCAGGCTGGGGCAAAGCTGGCAGGGGTACCCCAGAGCCGCCTGGGCTGCCCCCGTGGTCAAAACCAGCCCGGTGGGCTCATCAGGGCCGTGCCAAGCAGTGATGCTGTCATAGCGCAGTACGGTCTGGGGGCAGCATTAAGTTGTGACGCACTCACTCAGATGGAAGCATGCAGTTGGAAGGGAGATGCTTGGTTGCTGCTTCACATGCGGTGGGGCTACACTGGGAGGGATAGAGGGGTGTCCCGTCCTGGGGGTGGTAGTTGGCTGGACAAGGAATGTTTTAAAAGAGGTTGGTGGAGCTGATGATGTTGCTGAGTCAAAAGTGTGGGGCAGGGATGGGTAGCTGTCCCCCGGTGCCTACTGTTGCTGCCTGCAGCAGGGTAGAAGGTGATGCACAGGACACTGTACCTGTGGCAGCCCATCCTACGGGGAAAAAAGTCTGTCCCCAAGTCACTCTGCTCTGTGTGCACACAGGAGTCCCTCTGCAGTGGAGGGGAGGGGGGGACATGGGGTGTGAGCAGCAGGGTTGGTGCATGCCAGGTGATGAGTTGTTCTTGAGCATGGGTTGTGCATGCTGGGCAGGCAGCAGATGGGGCGGGGGGGGGGGGGGCCCGCAAAGGGGAATTAGGGACCTGACATAGGTACGGTTCCATCTGACACACAGCCCTGATCTGACCGTGCTGTTTGTATCTGCGCAGCTGGTGGGTCTGGGTGGCTGGGGGACCTGACAGAGCTTTGTGGCTGGGTGTAGAGAAAGATATTTTGCAAAGGAAAAGTTGGGGAAAGCCAGCAATTGAGCTCTTGTATTGAAATGCTGCCAGGCACAGAGAGAGGGAGAGTGACTGCAGGGAGGGTGCTTGGTGGCTGTGAAGTCTGTCTTGCAGAATGTCACACAGCCATGGCTGGTCACAGGGCCGACAGGATGAAGGGGAGCCTTGACCTGCACAGGGCATCTTGCAGCACTGAGAGCTGAGCACTGTGTTGCTTAGCACAGGAACCAGCAGACTGGAAAGGGGACATGTCTGTAAGAGTTATGATCCATAAAACAGGCACCTCAGAAAGGGTTAAAACCTTCTACCAGCTGCCTAAATTCCTGCCTTAACCCTCCTCTGTTACTTGAGTGCTGGGCTACAACCCTTGGTACAGTCCCATCTGTGCCAAAGCTCTGTCCAGGCCAGCTTGCTGCCTGGCTCCCCAAACCAGCACTCCCCTCTGGTCTCCTCTGAGCTGAGGAGCTGAAGGGGGACGTCTTCTCCCTGCCCTGCTTGCGTAGGGCTGTCCCCAGCAGGGCTGGTGCTAAGGCTGGGCTGGAGCATCAGAGCCACCTGCCTCTTGCCCAGTGCAGCCCCCCACCCCTCCTGGAGACGTTTGCTAGAGCAGGACTCAGGGACGTCCCCTAAGCCCACTTTTGGGAGGGAGCGCACCAAAGAAAGATGTTGTTGATTCAGTTGGAAATCCCTCTGGGACAGTATATTCCTAGGTCTCTATGGTGTTGCGCATGTCTAGGGCAGAGCTGGCTGGCTGGCCTGGCATGCTGCAGCAGTGAGCTCATAACCCGGCGATGACAAAGAACCCCAATCACACTTCAGGTCGGCCATGGTGGCATGGGGCCAGGGCCCTGCTTTCTCTTGGGCAGTGCTTGCAAGTTCAGAGGTGCCAAGAGGTGCCGTCCTTTTGGACCAGGGGGAATGAATCCACGGAGCAGACAGCCTGGAGAGAGGGACCTGCTGAGTGATGACACTGGTGTCTCCGGTCTCTGCTGACATTGTTGTGAGTTAGGCTTCAGGAGCCTGCGCCACCTGTGCTTCCCCAGCAGAAATGGTCTGTGCACCAAAAAGCCCAGAGTTTAGTGGACTGACAGGCAGTGGTACTGCCATGGGACCAGAAAAGCAGGATGGGCTTTGTGGCTGGAGTGTATCTTCTCAGCTAGGACTTGGGCTGAGTCCACCAGCTTTGTTCCTGAGACCGGTGTCGGCTGGGTGTGGCATTTAGCCAAGCAGAGTCTTGGCAGAATTTAAGTGTAGATGTAAAGCTTTGCATTGCCTTCTCAATCCCCCCAGTCACCCTGTTTGTCTCTCACTGTCCCCCCACACAGGAGTGCTGAGCAGCCCCTGCTCCCTGTCTCTGAGGTGGGGGTACTTGGCAGCTTCTGCCCACAACAGGCTTGTGAGATGCTGCCAGGACTTGTAGCAGGGCGGCTGGAACCTTTTGAAGCCACAGGGCAGTTCAGCCTTTGAAGTGTTCACCGACAGTCCCAGTGCTCAGGTTTTTGTAGTGCAGTGCTCTGCCGGGCTGTTCTCTGGCACTGTGCCATCCAGAATTACTCCTCGAGCAACTTCTGACAACAGTTCATTTACTTGGCGTTTCGCAGCAATCCTCCCACAAGCCCTGCATGGGGCTGGGGACCTGGGGGCCACACTCCCCTCTGGTATGGCGCCTCACCCTGCCTTCCAAAATCCCCACTCAGCTGGCTCACGTCTCTCTTCCTTGTGGACAGGGAGCTGACTGACCCCTCTCTCTATTGCCACTGAACCAGGTGGAAGCCAAGCCACGCATCTCATTCTGCCTGCTCTTTCGAGGAGCTTTTCTGCAGTTTCCAGTCCCCATTTCTCTGTGATGTTTTTTCAGTCTCCTTTTTGTGACTGTTGGTTCTCAGCATCTTTCGGCTGCATCCCCAGCAGTGAGTAAGATCCTTTCCCTTCTGTTTCCCGTGGTGACTCCTTATCATCTACATTGCTGTGAAATGCATGCTTCTGCCCCTGCTCTGCTCCCAAGTTATGTTCTGCAGGACTTTGGATTGGGTTTTTTCCTGCAGGCTCTTCTCTAGGTCTCTTTGCAACCTCTGCTCCTCTGGCCACCTCGCTGCCAGCCTGCTGGTGGATACCCCCTGCTCACACCTCAGCATCCTGCCCCTCTGGCACTGGGTCTGCATAAATGGGGCTGGGGTCTAATTGCCTCTCAGGTGTGAGGCCATGCCCCCTCCGTGAGCCCCCTGTCTTCCCGGGAGAAAACAGAACCCTGCTTTCTGCCTGCTAGATTGGGGCAATTCCTCTGAGAAGCAAGCTGGTGCTATGCCAGCGTTTCCCTGACGGGAAAGTGTGGGAGAAGCTGGGTCCCCACTCGGTCCTGGCCGCTGCGCCTCTCAGGGGAGTGATGGATGTCCCTTCCCCAGACATTTCTGGGCCCTGTCTGCTGGCTGGCTTTCCTGGGCCCCTGCATGCCTCCAGTTGTACTTTCTCAGCCACCAGCAAGATCTCTCAGCAGCAGTCTCTGGCCCAGTGATGGATGTTGACAGCTGCCTGACCAGCCTGTGCGAGACTTGATTATTTTCCTCCAAGGATGATGCCTTCCAGGTCTTGCTCCAAAGCCCTCTGCGAGCACTGTCTTGAAACCCTCACTGGAGCCTCTCTGGCTGCAGAGCCGTGCTGAGTGCTTCTGGCTTGTGCTCAGCTCAGACCGGACAAACACTTGGGAGTGGGGATCTGGAGCATCCCGCTGCAGGCAAGCTTAGCTTGTTCCTGTGCTGAGATGCAGGCAGTAGGTCCTGCCTTGCTCAACTCAGTGGTGTTTGGGTCCCCAGGGGGGGCAGGGTGCTTCGGCCTTGCTGGGGAGGGGGTAGGGACAGGCCACAGCCATCCCAAGCAGCAGCAGCCCAGCAGTAGGCAAACACCCATCCTGCCTCAACCAGCCACGAGGTTCTCTGAGGGCCTCATGAATGACAGCATGCTGGTGTCTCTGCCAGTGCCGCGCTGAAGTCTCTCTGGAAGTCTAAGTGTGCTCCTGCAGGAGGATCACATCGCTACAGAGCGCTGGGTGCTGCCCCGAACCAACCTCTACCAGCCCAGGGCAGGTAGTCGATGGCAGGGAGGTCGCTGGCTGTGGCGTGTTGTGGCATGGAGCCTGCTGGATGCCCTGGAGCAGGCTGAGGTCTCACCGAGCAGGGTGCAGACATGCACCATCGAAGTCTGGCCCAAAGGCTTGCTCTTCTGGGGCCCAGGCCTCCTGAAGGCTATCCCTTTGGCCAGCATAGGTCACCTTGGAGCAGGGAGAAGCAGCTCTCCCAAGGACTTGGAAATGTTCAGTGCGCCTCGCCATCGTGCTGCTAATGCTGTGCCACTGTCACAGGCAGGTAGAGAGGGAGGAGAGGAGGGGGGAGACAGCCAGGGCTGTCCCCAGCACCGTGCCTGGTGTGTGGGGGGGGTTGCAGGTGCCCAGAAGAAGGTGCCTGTAGGCCTGAAACAAGGTCAGCCGGCTGGCCCAGCCAGGACGGGGCTGGACCAGGATGAACTGACCTGGGGTTGCCTTAACCTCTAGTGCCGCTGAGTCAGCCTAGTGTGCCCCCTCCATCCCCCAGAGCAGCCCCCTGGCCCAGCACCACTCTCCTGCTGACAGCCCCACTCTTCTCTCTGCAGGCGCTGTATGGCTCCATCAAGAATGAGAAGCTGCAGTGGGCCATGTGAGTAACCCCCCCCCAGGGGAATACTGATGCTGGGCAGACAGTGGGGCCACGCTGCTGGTGCAGTAGGCTTCCTCACCCCTGCCGCCCTCCTCGCCGGAGCATCACCCTGCCCCAGAGGCAGCACCAGCCGTGATGCTGCAGGGCAGGTGCTCCTGCGGGGATGTGGGAGGGAGAGGGAGCTCGGGCTGGGCTGAGCTGGGGGTGCAGGCAACAGCACCTCCATGGGGACCCTGCCCCGGCGTGCTGGGGGAAGGCTGCCTGAGGCGAGTTCCCCGCAGCTTTGGTGTTGCTTCATGCCTTGGTGGCCGTGCCTGGGGTGGGAGCGGACAGGCTGTGGGGGGACCGTAGCTGTGCTGGGGCCCCGCAAGGTGCCCGCACCCTCGCCCACAGCTGCCATCTCCAGCAGCAGGAGCAGCAGCGCCCGCGCTGCGGGGATTAATCAGCCCGGCGGTACCGCCAGCGCTGAGCCAATGCGCTCGGGCTGCTGCCATGGAGACGCCGGCAGATGCTGAGGGGTTTAATTAGCAGCGAGCAGGTCTGAGGGAGGGGGGAGGCAGCAGCTCTGGGCTCCCACATCTTCCTGCCGGGCAGGGGGAGCGGCACTGATGCGGTCTGCCCACGGCAGCCTGCCTGCGGCGCGAGGGGCCCGTGACCTGGAGGCAGAGTGCGAGCAGGGGCCTGCCACCTCCTGCTGCAGGGGCTGCCTACATCCTGCCCACACCTGCTCCTGCCCCGGGCTGGTGCTGCCTGCAGGCTCCCAACACCCCTTTGCTGATGGCTCTGAGCCCCTTAGTCCGACTGCTGCGCTGAAGGTGTGGGGACCATAGCCTGGGACTTTCTCTGGGGGGGTTTCCCTTCTAGACCCTCTCTCCTGCCAGCTGGGGACCTGCTAGCCTGTACACCACAGGCTGGGGGGCTGTGGTAGTGCCAAGCCCCAGGGTGCTGCTCCTCCATGGCCCTTGGCTCATCAGCCTGGCTGGCATCAGTCCCAGCTCTGTCCACAAAGGTTCCTCGCTCCCTGGGGCAGCCAGGGGCCCCACCGTGAACTGGCAGCAGACACCCCCATGCCTTGTCTTTCAAGGGGCCAGGCAGTACCGCAGCTGCCTAGAGGGGCAGGGGCATGGGGCATGGCTGGGTTTGGGATGCTCACCAATGGTGATGGGAGGCTGCTCAGCCCAGTCTGCTGCTCCCGGCCTCCCTTTCAGAAGTCAGGCCTGAAAGCGGCACCGGCAAGTGGGAAGCTTGGTATTTGCTGTCCCCAGCAAGGTAACAAACCCTTTCCTCACCCAAATCTGTGCCTGGCAGAGATGAGGAGGAGCTGAGAAAGTCCCTTTCGGAGCTGGCAGACCCCAACCCGAAGTCCATCAAGCGCATCAGCAGCTGCAGTAACCCCTTTCTGGACTTTTCCCAAGATTCCAGCATCGCCACCTACAAGCATGGACTGTTAGTGCGCAAGATCCACGCTGATCCAGACTGCAAGAAAAGTAGGTGACTGGGGAGCCCACAGGAGGGACTTGGGGCAAGAGGGCACCAGTGAGCTCCAGAAACCCAAAGGGGGAGCAGGGCAGGAGTCACTACGTGACATCTGACTGTAGCATCATGCCAGCCTCCAGCATCAGCCCCCTGTGCCCTGTCTGTCTGTCTGTGCCATGCATAATTCAGCCCCGAGGCTGGGGAGCCTGAAAGCCTCTCCCTGCCTGTCTGCCCCCACCATCAGGGCTGGGCAGAGGCCGAGATGGCAGCGAGCAACACAGCCCCTGCCCGCGGTGCTGGGAAGGGGGCAGGCAGGGAGGTGGGATGGGCTCCCTGGGGGATGCAGCCCTGCCACAGGATGGTGGGGACAAAGGAAGGTGTCCTGTGGTGCTGCAAACAAGCCACACAGCGGGCTGCCGCTGGTTGGGCGCTGCCAGGCACGTTCACCGTTTCCACTGTAAAATCTCCTCTAAGCCCTGGCCATCTAATGCCGCCTTGATCTGATTAGATGCAGCCGCCCTCCAAAGCCAGCAATACCTGGTGGCCAGCACCACCTTGTCCCTGTCCCCGAGTGGGGAGGCAGTGGCGAAGCCGAGCGTGGGTGGCAAGGTGGGCGGTGAGCACAGCGGTGCTGGCCCCGGGAGGCAGCAGGCAGCCCCCCTGTCAGCAGCACCATCTGCCAGCCACACGGCTGTCACAGGCTCAGGTGCGCGGGGACAGTCCTGGCCTGCCGCCCGTCCCCGGGGTGGGGTGACGCGCATCGTTGCAGGGCTGGCTGGAGGAGGATGGGGGGGGGGTGATGGACGCCTTCCCGGTGCTCGGTGCTGGGGCTGATATCTGGGCTGCTGTCTCTCCTCCCCGGCAGCACCCCGAGGGAAACGCGGCTGGAAGCCCTTCCACGCCATCCTGAAGGGGATGATTCTCTACCTGCAGAAGGTAGGCAGCAGCGGGGCCGCCTGCGTCCACGCCAGGGAGAAGGATCATTCCCAAAGCGGGGGGGGGGCGGGGAGATCATGGCAGTCCCCAGAGCAGTGAGAGGGGCTCCACCGCACAGCATTGCAAAGCCTGGCCTAAGCAGACTCAGCACCATGCCTGCTTGAGCCGTTGCTTGGGGCCCTGGTGGCATCCCTGTTCCCCGGGGTGCTCAGGCTCAAGCCTGGGCAGCGAAAGCGGCTGCTGGACCGAGGGTCCTGCCCGTGGGGGTTTGCCTGGGGAGAGAGGAGGCACTGGGGTCTTTGCCCTGGAGGGGGCGTGTTGGGCTGCACATCTAGTTTCCTGCAGGAACACATGCTGCCCAGCTGCAGGGCAGTGGGGAAAAGCCACTGTGCTTGCCAAGCCTGTGCACCCAGGTTGTGCAGCCTCTCCCCGTGTGTATAGCATGAGCTGGAGGCAGAGCCTGCAACAGCCTGGTGGAAGGTGATCTCCAAGCCCCACCACTGCCAGCACTTGCCTGCAGTTCCCATGGCCTTGTAGAGCTGACTCATGGTGGGGTGCATCCCTAAGCTGGCTCTGAAACACCCCGTGATTCGCAGGAGGAATATAAGCCAGGGAAGGCACTGGCGGAAGAGGAGCTGAAGAATGCTATTAGCATCCACCATTCGCTTGCCACACGGGCGTCTGACTACAGCAAGCGACCCAACGTCTTCTACCTCAGGACAGCTGACTGGAGGGTATTCCTCTTCCAAGCACAGTGAGTCCCCCAGGATGACCGGCTGTGCCCCACGCTGGGGCACAGGGGCTCACCTGACTGGGGCAGAGGGTGGGATGGGTCTTAGGGCCATGTTGCTTTCTCCTGTCCTAGCTCTTTCTGGAAGGAAAGGGACCCAGTGTCAGTCCTGTGCTTTGCCCAGCTCCTCTTCTTCCCAGCCCAATGGGCTCATGATGGCCCGAGTCACTGGGGGTAGAGCCCCAGGTGCTGTGGTTGGCCAGGGCCAGGCCTGGGGGACCCAGATCTTGTCTGCAGGGCAGGTCCCTCTGCCTGCAACACAGATAGTGCCACTTAGAGCCCATCTGTGGTTTGGCCTTTCTCCCCAGGAACCCCGAACAGATGCACTCATGGATCACACGCATCAATGTGGTGGCAGCCATGTTCTCCGCGCCCCCTTTCCCCGCTGCCATCAGCTCCCAGAAGAAGTTTAGCCGCCCACTGCTGCCCAGCTCCTGCACCAGGCTGTCCCAGGTGAGTCATGGTGTTGGGGAAGCCAGGAGCATGGGACAGACACACTGAGTCTGCTGGTGGCACTGTCCCCTTGCGGAGGGACCTATGTGGTGCCAATGCCCAGCTGCCTCCCAGAGGGGTGCAGGGCCAAAGGAGCATGGCCAGGGAGACACAGAGCAAGGGGGTGCTGAGACTGGGGGGCAGACAGCGAGGTCTTGTTCCTGGCAGCAGGAATGGGAGACAGGCGATGGAAGAGAACGTGGTCCCACACCACGGCTTGCAGGGTCCTGCCAGGGCCAGGACCTTGAAAGGCGACCGGCCGGGGGGATTAGCTGGCGCTCACGCATGCCAGGGCAGTTATTCATAGAGCAGAAAGGATTAAAAAACACCACCAGCCTAGTTTTAGAGGGGATTAAATTATTCTGCTTTAAGACTGCAGCCAGCCCCCTGTGAGGCAGGAGCAGTTTGCCCCCAAGGGCCTGTGCTTTTGCCTGCCATTTAAAAAAAAAAAAAAAAAAAAAAAAAGCAAACCCAGGAGCAGAAGCTGAGATCCTGGCTGGCTCTAGGAGGGGAGAAACCTCTTCTGGCCCCAGCCAGCTCACACTGCTGGGGGGCAGAGCAGAGCAGAGGGCAGAGTGGGGCACTGACATGGTGCCACCCTTCCCCAGGAGGAGCAGGTGAAGAGCCATGAGACCAAGTTCAAGACAATGTCAGCGGAGCTGCTAGAGCATCGCTCCTCGCTGCCTGAGAAGAAGGTGAAAGGCAAGGAGTATGAGGAGCTGAAGCAGAAGGAAGAGTACCTGGAGTTTGAGGTGAGCTGAGAGACATTCCACCCCCACCCCCAGCCCCTCTGCCCCTGCCCTCTTGGCTATCCTGAGTGATGGGACCCCCCTGTCCCCATCAGCTGAATTGCACAGTGCCACTGCCGTGCTCCAGGACCATGAGCATTCCTCCCCACCCTGGGATGCTGGCTGGGGTGGACGGACCACAAGTATCCCCCTCCACCCCAGGATGCTGTCTGAGAGGCAGTGCCCAGCTCACCAGCACCTCTCTCTGGTGCACTGTGCTCCCCAGAAATCCCGCTACGGCACCTACGCCATGCTGCTGCGGGCCAAGCTGAAGGCTGGCTCTGAGGACCTGGCAGCGTTCGAGTCTACCCTCTTTGATGCAGCGGGCAGGGAGGATGATGGCCTGAAAAAATCCCGCTCCAGCCCCTCGCTCAACGTGGAGCCCCCTAGCATGGCCACCAAGGTGAAGCGCAATGTCTCGGAGTGTGCGGGCCGCCAGCCCCCTGGCCGCCCCCAGAAGTCATAAGCGAGGGGCATCAGCCACCCTCGCTGCAGCTCCGTTCCTGCCCC